ATATAGAATACTGATGAAATCCGAATCAGACAACTATGCGTGCTACGAATTGAATCAACTTTTACCATGGAGATCGAAGTCCCCATTTCGGGACATAATGAGAGAGTTCCAAAGGTCACAGCCAAACGAAAAAGAGTTGGCGAACACGATCAAATAGCAAACAACTAACCTGCAACTTTTCGACTTGTGCTTTGCGCTCTTCTTCAGTAAGTGGGGCCAGCTTACTATTCAGTTCAGTATAATTACAATGCCCGGTGAGTGCGCTGTGCAATTGTAATTCCTCGTCATTCTGAAGACATTTCTGACAGCTGAAAAACGAGTTTCGGTAAGAAAGATTCTCAATTACTCCTCGCATTTGTATGACTGTGATTCGGATTGTTCGGCTATTTGTTTTACTAATATTCAATGGTCATCATCATCAATCGAAGTTGGACTACCTTCATCCGGAACAAATTCGGTGTTTTTCTGGTTTTCAGCTATCCTGTGAATATAAGGAGAGAGAGAATAGTTAGTCCACAAAATGCAACTTACCAATCCACTGCAGCATCTAAACTCTTGTATCCGGTACGTTGTAGAGCCTCCTCTCTGTGTTAAGATAGTTATGTATCAAAATGCACCTTTACACTCACGCAATAGCTTGAGAGAAGCCCATGTCAAGTAGGTATTGCAGATCAGAAGACATTGGACAGGAGTAGGCGAAAAATTCTGCGAAGGGGGGGGAGAGAAAGCATTGATAAATTGTAATCCAAAAATCTCATGCAGACGAGATTAAGCCATAAAATTGGCAAATCAAACAACGATACACAAGTATCACCGTTTTTGCTTGACTTAACCTCAAAGGATTACAAATAAACCAGTTTTTCGTAGGCAGTTATTTCTCCTCAGCTCACCGCTGCGGTCAATCACCTCATATAACCGCTTGCAATAGTCAGATTCCACTGATCGAGTGCTAATTGATCCATCCCCCGGAACCGGATTGCACGCGAGTGCAAACAGTATAAAACAAAACACAATCTCATTAACTATATGTAATCAATGTATGGTTATTAGTGACAGGCAGTTTTGTGGTGGTGGTCCGGTGGTTAGGGTCATCAAAATAATGATCCGGAAGTCCCGGGTTAGAACCGCTCCACCATCGCCCATCTTCTGTGTTTTCCCAGGCAGTCTTTCTATGACTGCGGCCTCCTTCCTGAACGTTTACTGCACATTTGTATATATAAATATATATAGATCGATTGGAGTTAACAGATAGTCAACTCTCCCTTCGTTACTGTCTGGCCAAATTGAACTAAATAACCAACCATCTCAGAAGACGACACCTGAAAAAGCGTGAATTGGCAACTCGGTTCAGTCCCGGCATGAGCTGGTTGGCACAGTGGTAACACACACGACATATATGCGATAGATCTGGGGTTCATATCCCGGACGGGACCGACGAGCTCCAATGAAAGCGAAACTCGAGCCTAGCGCTTCCGAGTGTATGGTTGACTGGAAGGGCTGAGGAATGATCGTGAAGGTGAGGTCTGAAGGATGGTCAGTTCTAGTAAAAGAATAAAAAGCAAGTAAAAGGACATTTTTGCTACCGTCTTCTTTAATATCCAGCGAAGTTGTCTTTTTTATTACACACAATGCGATTTACAGCAAGAGGAGTAAACCCCATAGGTGGTGGTGGAGCAGTGGTTTAGTCGCTGTCACCGGCGGGCTTTGGACCCTATGGTCCGAGGTTCGAGTCCCGCCACCGCCACCCAACTTTGGTGGTAGGCAGCTCTGCTGTCGTCTGGTTCAATACCACACCTAAACTATCGGGGCCCTATGTGGTTCGCCATTCCAAGTCCCGGGGCTTAGGTTGCCGGTTTCCACCACTGAACAGCAGGTCCTCGCGACTATGGGGCTTGCCCTGTCTGTTGTTCATCACACTTAGGTGTGTAATAAAAAAATAACATACCGTAAGCGGGAAGGTATGTGGGGAACATTTAAGTGAGAATTCCGCTTTTGAAAAGAGTAAGATTATAAGTGCCTCCGAACAATGAGATAAGAAGTGTTCCACTATTTCGCAGCCCAGGGGAAGAAAGAATTTCGACATCTGGGGGCAGAAACCTGATAAGGGTGACTGCTCGCCTGAGAACGAAAGCGCTTTGCATGGAACAGAAAATCTACTTCGCGCGTAACGCGAGAGTGGAAATAAAAGATGATAAATAGAGAGAATGTACAGGTACACCCAGGAGGGAAGAGAATTTGTGGAACAAAGAGGAAGCGAGTCAAAAATCAATTGGGGCAGAAACGTTCAGAAGCGACGGAGAAGAGAGAAGTTTTGGAAGCATTGAAACGCATGCGTCCGGGATCGGAAGCACGAGAAGCATTAATGACATTGCGATTGTAGTCGATACTGGTAGTGGCCTTGACGGGTCTTGGGGATGAGAAAACAACGGAGTGGCATCATCAGCAAAGCAGTGAATGGGATTAGAGGTTTTGGGCAAAAGATTGTTGAAGAACAGAAGAAAGAGGGTGGGCAAAAGTATGGAACCTTGGGAGACACCGGCATTCACAGGGAATGGCTGAAGTAATACCCCATCGACTCGGACGGAGAGGGTCCACTTGTTTTGAGGAAACCTCGGAGCCACGATACA